AAACTAATGTAGAGCAGGTATAGGAACGGATAATTTTTACTCTGATCCGGTAAAAAATTTTTTTTAAACCTCGTTCCAAAACCCCAACCGGATTCTTTCAACTCTTCTTATCCCTGCTTTAGAGCCCAATCAGAAAAATAATAATAAATTTTCTCTGATTGGACTCTTAAACTATTATAGAGCCTTAAAACCTCTAAAATTTATTATTATTTTTTTAGCCTTGTTCAGTTAATTCCTCTCAAAACTTTTCCTTTTGTAAACAAATAAGCAAATTAGAATACCAACAAGAATCTAGCAATAAACAACAATCCAAACATTTATCAACACTTTTAGACTCGATCATTTGTGATCAAAATTTGAGTGAAAATGAAAAAGTTGTTAAATTAAGAGATGTAAAGTTTTTTAAATTTTTTTTCTCAAGGGGGATATGTTAAGAGGGAGATAATTTAGAAGAGAGAGTGTGTGTCAGGGGTGTGCCGAAACGGATTTTAAAAAGCGAAACGCGAAAGGCGAAATTAAATTTAAAAAGTGAAACGCGAAACGCGAAAGTAAATTTGAAAAAGCGACACGCGAAAGTCCAAAAAACGCGAAAATCCGCGAAAGGCGAAACGCGAAACTGGCACACCCTTGGTGTGTGTGTGATGATATGTATGTTTGGGGAGGGATTAAAGTGTCGTAGATGGATTAGTTTGAGGAGGTATGGAGTATTTCAGAGAGTGATATATCGAAGAGTATAATGTGTTGGATATCAGGGGGATTTTAAATAGCGAAAGGCCAAAAAAGGAGAAATTTCGGCGAAAGGCGCGCACTCTCATGTTTGATATGTCAAAAAGAGTGGGTATCACGACTTTTGCGCCTACAGTCGCCTACCTAATTATATGTACTCCTTAAAAAATGGTATCCAGGAGCTGAAGGAATTTCAAGAAGTACAATAAGGTTAAAAAATAAACCGACCCCCTACAGGAGTCATCTTCAAAGAATTTGACATTTTCGGATCAGGATATTTGGTCTGCTACCCCTGTTTAGGCATGATTTTCTGATAGAAGAAGGTGCACTACAGTGTAGGGTTGTCGGGTCCAGATATCCGGATTTGAAAAAGGCCGGATAGTCGAAAATTTTAGGTCGGATATCGGATTCGGATCTTAATATCCGAAGATATCCAACTATCCTACATTTTCTATAGTGAGATCCGCCTGTAGTTTTTCATAATTATTAATGATAGTGGCGGCGCAAAAGTCGTCCGGCGCAAAAGTCCCCCGGCGCAAAAGTCACGGAACCAAAGAGTGTGACTTCCCTCTTCCTACATTTCCCTTTTATTTTTTTAAATATTTTTATTTGGTTCATTTGAGTCTCGACATTTTTAAAAAAATTTTTTTTATTTCAGTTTAAAATAGCTTACCCAACAATATATCAGGCAAAATTTGGTAAAGAAAAATTAAATGATACTCCAAAAATTAATAATTTACCTTCAATTAACAACAACAATTTATCATTAAAAAATGAAGCAACAACTTCCTTAAGCAAGAATTTTAAGAAAATTATTTTTTAATTTGTAGAAGAGGGAAAAAAATTTAAAAAATTTTTTTGTTGGAAGAGAAGGTATGGGGGAAGATTTAAAAAAATTATTTATTTTATCGAAAAAAAAATTTTTTTATTTTCAGGGATATTTTTATTTAAAAAATTTATTTTTTTCTTGTTGTCTAAAACGACTACATATTTTTATTTTACTTAAATTTTATTTTTAATTTTATTTTTGATTTTATTAGTGTTTTTTAAATTATTTAGAATAAAAAAACACTTAAAATACGGAGCAGTTCAGTTCAGAGAAAAAAGTCTGGGCTGGTTTCTAGTCGAAAAAAAGTCAAGGTTTATATGGTAACCCATCCCTGGTTCAGATCATATAACTCATGGAGAGATGTTCACTTCTTCGGGTTCTTGGTACCCTTTGATAGAGAATTGAAAGCACTACAATATACCAAAAAATCAGAATTTTTGACTGCTTGATAAAAATGTTATGATTGAAAAACTAACTTTTTGTTCAATAAAATGTGATTTTCGGCACTTTATCGATCATAACTTTTTTATTAATCAGTCGATTGTTTTGATTTTTTGGTAGCTTGTAGAGTATTTAATTCTCTATCGAATGGTATCAAGAACGCTAAGAAGTATAGGCTATTTCATAAGTTATAAGTGCTGGGACTTGACTGACACTGAGTTGGGACTCACCTTAGATGTACCCCTTAAAATATTAATTTTTTCTTTAATTATATTTTAAAATTAATTTTAAAAGTCAATTAAAAAATAAATTATTTTTTGAATTAATTTTACTCTGTTCTTATTTATTTTTGAAAAAAAAATAAATTGTAAACAGACACACAACAATTCCTTCACAAAGAGTGACATTATTTATTAAGTAAAAATTTATTTTTAATTTATTTTTATCAATTTTCTTATCATTTTAATGAATTAATTAATTTTCTCTCTCCCTTTTTATAAATTAAAAAAAAATATAAAAAGAGTAAATTACATAGTATAATTAAACGCATTTTTGCAATTAAATTTTTACTTTAATTGTTTAACTGTCTTTTTTCCTCTCTTCCATTTTTAATGAGAATTTGTGAATCTTTCTCTTTCATCCCTCCTTTTTCACCTCTATTACCAGGCACGGAAGACTAACGAAAAAATTTTCTGATTAGGAAATTTTCATAAATTGGACACTTCTGATTAGAGATCGAGATTTTTGAAAAGCCTGGACTCTGGGTTTGATTTCTTGACCTAGGCCGGATTCTGGTCCAGGAAAACCCAGGTCCAGGAAAACCCCAAGAAGGTCAAAAAATGCCTGGACCTGGACTCTGGGTACAGGAAAAACCCAGACATTGGTCCGTGTCCAGCTCGATCTCTATTTCTGATTAGTGACCGGCAGAACCGACTTTGCCACTCCAGGATTCCGGATTCGTAACTTTAACCGGACCAGCCTAAATGTTCCGGATTAATCCGGTTTGGTTTTAATCCTGTAAAAATTCTGATTTTAAAAATTCTGATATTTTAATGTTCTGATAATTTTTAAATATTTCCAGACTCAAACACCCCTTTTTAAAATAATTTACTCTTTATTCTTTAATTTTGCTTTAATCAATTTTTATATATTCGCTTCTTCAAAGTCTTATGCTTCCACCCGGCTGTCTGTTAAAGCTTTATAATCAATAATCCCTTATTTTTTTATTATAGGGTGTGCGCAAAAAAAACGCCAAACAATTTTTTGATTTTGAAATATCGAAATGTCAACTTGACGAATTTTTAAAAATGTCAAAAGTACAAAATGGTCAACTGTCAAAACATATCTCATACTCAAATCAGGCTGGCCTTTTTGCCTCATTTATAGGGCATTTGCCCTATTCTTGGCCGATTTCGCCCTATTTTTGAGTGGCTGTGCCCAATTTTAGTGTTTTGGAAAGTACAAAATGGTCAAATGTCCTATTGTTCATTTGTTAATAATATCAAATCATTTAAATAAAAAAAATTTTTGCCGAAATGGCAAAATGCCAAAACGGTCAAAAACACAAAAAACATTTTAATCCCCCCCAAAAATGACGTAAAATCGAGACATAAAACATTTAAAAACTAAAATTTATTTTCTTTCTTTTCCCCTCTAACATTTCTATTGCCAGTCGAGAGAGAAAATGTCGCACGTTTTTAAAAATGTTTTTTGCCCCCACATAGACGCGTGCGTGTTAATTTTCTCTCTTTTCTTTATATTTTTTTTATTTTTCCCTTATATTTTTTTCTCTCTCCTCTTTTCCCTCTCTTTTTCCCCCTCTCTCCTTTTGGAATCGTGCCCGCTCAACTCATCTAATCCTTAACTCATCCACACGCCCAAAAACGCTCAACTCATCTAAACGGCTAAAATTCCTTAACTCATCCACACGGCCAAAAATGCTCAACTCATCCAATCCTCAACTCATCTAATGCTTAACTCATCCACACGGCCAAAAATGCTCAACTCATCCAATCCTCAACTCATCTAATGCTTAACTCATCCACACGCCCAAAGACGCTCAACTCATCCAATCCTCAACTCATCTAATGCTTAACTCATCTACACGGCCAAAAACGCTCAACTCATCCAATCCTTTGGAACGAGACTATTGAGTACCAGTCGTTTGAGTCCCTGGCCGTTTGAGTCTCTGGCCGTCTGAGTCCCTGGCCGTTTGAGTCTCTGGCCGTTTGAGTCTCCGGCCGTTTGAGTCTCTCGCCGTCTGAGTCTCTGGTAAGTAGGGTCCATGACCAGTTGAGTCCATGGCCAGTTGAGTCCATGACCAGTTGAGTCCATGACCAGTTGAGTCCATGACCAGTTGAGTCCATGGCTAGTTGAGTCCATGGCTAGTTGAGTCCATGACCAGTTGAGTCTCTAGCCGGTTAAGTCCCTGGTCAGTTGAGTCCCGGCCGTTTGAGTGGTTGATTACCGCCGGTTGAGTCTTGGGCCGGTTGAGACTCAACTGACCAGGGACTCAACCGGCTAGGGACTCAACCGGCCGATATTTCAAGGATTGGATGAGTTGAGCGTTTTTGGGCGTGTGGATGAGTTAAGCATTAGATGAGTTGAGGATTGGATGAGTTGAGCGTTTTTGGGCGTGTGGATGAGTTAAACATTAGATGAGTTGAGGATTGGATGAGTTGAGCGTTTTTGGCCGTGTGGATGAGTTAAGTGTTAGATGAGTTAAGGATTGGATGAGTTGTAGGGTAGCCTTTGGAATATAATTTCAAACGTAAGCAACACAAAATAAAAAAAAATATTATTTTTTTTATAAAGCTTAACATTTGCTACAACTTGAAAGCTTAGTTTTTATATTTTTTATTAACAACCCTCTATTCACTTTCATTTTCAATCCGTTTTCCATCCCCCCTTTTTTTATTTTTTTATTCCCCTTCAAGTTGGGAACATGCGAAAGTTGCGTGTAGTGGGTTGAGTCCAACCCTCATAACTTTTTTATGGTTAAAGCTTTTGGAATGGTTTTGGTATTGTTGGATAGAGCATAAAATAGGCTATAAATGAGGATAATAAAAAAATTTTGAGTTAATAAAGAAAAAAGTTATTGAGAAAATATAGGCGTTTTTGGGATAAAATGTCCGATTTTTTTGTTTTTTATTTTTTAAATTTTTCCTAATTAATCCTAAATTTTTGTTTTTGTCCTCATTTGTAGCAAATTTAATTCTCTATCGAATGATACCAAAACCTTATCTGAACCCTTACCCACTCAAAAGTTATGGGGTCTAGACTCTACTGTACCCGGCTGTCTCTTATCCACGCGACCGTTCTCCCTTTCCCTCTCCTTTCCCCTACACATTTTCTTTTATTCTTTCACCTAGTAATTTTCAGTCACATTCACCCCTTTTCATTTTTTTATCTTCCTTACAAACGTTTTATGGCGGCATAAACTCCTCTATATTTTTTTTGCTCCCAGCTGCGCTTTATCTTTATTCTCTCCCTTCTTTTTCTAGCTTTGGCCAATCCTCAGCTTTTTATTTTTATTTTCTCGGGTCTAAAATCATAATTCTAATGCTACACCGTTATTTTATATATTTTTAAACAAGCCTTTATTTTTTACTAAACAAGCCTCTTTTTCATTAAAAGCTTTTTCATTCAGAGCTAACCACTGTTTTTGTGTGGTTGGCGTTTTTTGGATTAAACGCCAAAAATAATTTTTTGACGTGTTTTTCTATCTGTTTTTATATTAATTTTTATTGCCTGGGGGTATCAGAATTTTAAAAAAATTTTCAGAAAAATTTTTTAGAAATTTTCAGAATTTTTTGAAATTTTTTTGTCTTTGCGTTTTATAAAAAAAATTTTGGCGCACACCCTTGAAAAGATAAATGTTTTTATTTTTTGTTATTTTGCCGCTGTCATACCAACGAGAGTGAGTGTGAGTAAATGGAATGTTTTTAAGCTTTTGATTTTTTTATCTAACTACTTTACATTAAAAATAAGATAAATACCCTCCCTATAAAGCTCTTAGAAGCACCAAATTGACATACTGTTTGTTTTTTTTAATTTTAAATAAGTGGTGAAAAGCAAAAACAAACCATTTTTAATGTTTGCTTGATAAGAAGATAATATTATTTTTTTAATAAATAGTCTGTAATAAACAGGTGAAAGAATTTATTTCCTACCCCACTTACTCATAGAGGGAAAATAATTTTATTTTTAGTTTTACAATTATTTAAAATAAAGTTTTATTTAAGTTTACAATCAAGTTTTACAATTTGATTTTTAATAATTGTAAAACTTTAATTTTTGCAAATTGTAAATTATCTTAATAATTGTAAAACTTATAATTACAAATTCAGGTTTTACAATTATTTAAAATTCAAGTTTATTTAAGTTTACAATTAAGGTTTTACAATTATTTAAAATTCAAGTTTTACAATTTTGTTTTTAATAATTGTAAAACTTAAAAGCTTCAATTTGCAATAAAAAACTTAGATTTTTACAAATTGTAAAACTTTATTTAAAATTAAACTTTAATTTTAATAATTGTAAGCTTAAGTTTATTTAAAGTTTTAAATTATTACAAATTCAAGTTTATTTATAAATTTACAATCAGATTTTACAATATGTTTAAATTCAAGTTGTTAAAATTTCAAGTTTTACAATTTTTTTAATAATTGTAAAACTTTAAATAAAAACTTTAATTTGTAATAACAATAAAACTTTAATTCGTTTACAAATTGTAAAACTTGATTGTAAAACAAACTTTAATTTTAATAATTGTAAAACTTAAGATTACAAATTCAAGTTTTACAATTTTATTTTTAATAATTGTAATCTATCCTTTTTAAAGGCGTCAAGTGTTGCTAAAAGGAGTGTTCCTTCCCGTGTATTCTTATGATCTGCAGTCTTGTGTTTTCTATCATTCCTTTAATATTTTCCCTAGGACATTACAAAACTCTTAACATTAAGCAATATTTTTTGATTTTTAAAGATAGTTCCGTTCACACACTTAAAAAATGTGAATATCAAATGAATAGTAAGGGAAAAATTTATTTATTTTTCACAATAATTAATGTGTATTTTTTTCTTTTTTTTTTGATTTTTATATTGTAATAAAATAAAAGACTTTTAATGAGAGAGACAGTTTAAATTAATAAAAATGTTTTTAACACTTCTAACAGGTTTAGAGTTAATAAAACTACCATCTCTCCGCTTCTCTATTTCTTCGATGAAAATAAATCATTGAAGGTAAATTGTTAATAATTGTAAAACTTTTAAGATTGTAAAAAACTTACAATTTTAAAATAATTGTAAATCGCCTAATTTTTTCCTCAATAATTCCTAAAATGTGCTAGAAGACATTGGTGGTGAAATTGGGAAAAATAACATAAAGGGAAGAATTTGTAGAAACCCCAATATTAAATATTTAATAGCCAGAGTTGCATGATTTTAAACCCCGGTTTCTGATGATAATCTACATGTAATGGTTACTGGGTAGACCTCAGCCCGTCCGTGTAATACCCCAAATCCTTTGAGATTTGTCTTAGAGATTCAGACTGGTGGCACGAACTTATGGACCACCCTAATAATTGTAAATTTTATTTTTTTGATAATTGTAAAACGTAAAAATTAAAGTTTTACAATTTATTTTTAATAATTGTAAAACTTTAATTTTTGAAAATTGTAAAATTTAATTGTAAAACATAATTTCTGAAAATTGTAAAACTTTAATTTTTTAAATTTTTTGTTTTAGATATTTTAAGAATATTATTTAATATTTATTTAATACACACAACTTATGACGCTCGTATTTACATTTATTAAAATAAAAAAATTTTTTAGAGCTTTGTTTATTTTAATATTTAATTTATATTTATTTAAATGTTACCTTTATATTTTAAATAAATTAAATAATAATTTTTTTCTATTTTTGCCGTTTTATTTTTTTTATTTTTTTACCATTTTTGTCTTTTCTTTAAAAAAATATTTCAATTATTTTTAATTATCAACTTTACGCTAAATTTTAATATAAATATTGTAGCTTTAATGCTTACTTATACATTTAATCTTAAAACTTTAATTTTTAATTATTACAAATTGTTAATTTTATGCTTCATAATTTGTAAAAATTAAAGTTTTAACTTTTACAAATTGTAAAACTTTAATTTCCAATTATTTCAAATTGTAAAAGTTTTATTTTTAACTTTTACAAATTGTAAAACTTGAAATTTTGATTATTACAAATTGTAAAATTTTTATTTGCAATTTTTACAAATTGTAAAACTTTAATTTCCAATTATTTCAAATTGTAAATTTTCAAGTTTTACAATTTGTAGAAATTAAAGTTTTAGGTTTTACAATTTGTAAAATTTAAAACATTAATTTTTTCAAATTGTAAAACCTAAAACTAACTTTTACAAATTGTAAAACTTTAATTTTTAATTATTACAATTTGTAAAAATTAATGCTTTAATTTTTACAAATTGTAAAACTTTATTCTTACAAACTTAAAAATTTATTTTAACGCTGTAGAGATCACTTAATTAATTAATTTTTTGGTTCAATAAATTTTATCTTTTAACAAGTTTTCAAGTAATTAATTAATTATACATAGGTATTTATTCAAAATATTTTTACAACATTAAATATTTAATTAATGGAGTTTTTAATTTTTTAATGTTTAATTAATTAATTAAAATCAGTAAATGTTCCACATATTTACTCTTTTAATTAAAATTTGTGAAAATATTTTTCTTATTTTTTTATGTTAAAAATATTATTTTTTAAAAATTAAATTCCTTTACATTTTTTTAAATTATCCACTAATTACACTTTAATTCCCACCATTTTCATTCCTTTTTATTTTTTTAAAAAATATTTTTACATTTTTAAAGGGTAGTCTAATTTTCTTTTAACTGTTTTATAGACTTTTACAATCAAGAACAATTAATCCCTAAGGTATTGAGAAATATAAATATTTTAGTATTTTTGAGTAGTCGTCTTGTGAAAAAATAAGTAGAATTGTGAGAAATTGTAATTTTACAAAAAAAATTTTTTTACAATTTTTATTTAAACTTTTATTGAGAGGATAGGAAGGATTACATAAGGGAAGAGACTTTCTCAAACTTAAAAAACTTTCCCAACTTTTCCGTTAAAACATAAGATTGTAAACTTAGAGTTTTGACATTAAATTCTTAAAATTCTCAACTACTATTGGGAAAAAGAAAATTTTCTCGATTTTTTTAATCCAAATCCTTTCAAAATAAAAACCAAAAAATCCTTCACTTTCAATCAAAAAAATTCAAAAAATTCTGAAAGAATTCAGATCGAATCTCATATTAATTTCTAATTTTAAATTTTTTTCCTCATTTTTTTTTGAATATCTTACTAAATATGTCTCTATATTTAACGAATAGACTAGGAGGGTAATTTCATAATTTTTTTAAAAATATTTTTAATTTTTTACCCTAAATATTTGACCTTTTTAATTATTTTGTTTGCGTCATTAAATTATTTTTATAATTTTATTTAAAATTTTTAGTTATTTAAATATTCAGAATTATTATAATATTTTTAATTCGTTAAAACAACAACTAAATGTTTTTTTTAAATTAAATTTAATGCAAGCCTGAACTTACAAACTTTAAAAGAAAAAGTTGTAGGAAAGAAGAAATTGTAAAATCAAAGTTTTATTTATTTTCCCTCCCTCATTTTTACAATTTTACAAATGCATCAAATTAAAATTTTAACATGTTTATTTGTTTTATTACAACTTTGTTCAATCATGCCCTTTTGTTCTTCCCAACAATTACAACAAATAAAAAGGCATTCGTTTAGAGAAACGTGTGTTGACGAACATGATAAAGTAAGGGAAATATAAATAAATTTACAAACTTGAAAAGTTTGTAAGCTTACACATGAAAAGTTTTTAAAGTGAAACTTAAGTTTGCAAGACTTAAAACTTGAAAAGTTGAATTGTAAAATTAAACATTTTCAAGTTTGCGCTTGAAAATGTTTGTAAACTTGAAAAATTAAAGTTTTATTTTTAGGAAAAGCGCAAACTTGAAAAAGTTTTTAAGTTTAAACTTAAATTTTGAAAACTTAAAACTTGAAGGGTTGAATTTTAAGATTAAACTTGAAAAAGTTTGCGTAGGGAAAAGTTTGTAAACTTGAAAACTTTTTATTTCCTTTGTGAAAACGCAAACTTGAAAAAGTTGGAAAAGATAGACTTTAAAATTTAAGTTTTATTTATTTTGTGAAATCGCAAACTTGACAAAAACACAAACTTTTTCTTTGACTTGCTAACTTGAACAAAAAAATTTTTATTTTTCAGGATCTCATTTCTTGTATAGTCTCTGCTGGTTTGTAATTTGTAAACTTTATTAAATATTTATTTGCCCTTTTAAAGTTGATTGTTCCATAAATATTGAAAAGCTTTTTCCTCCCTCAACTAACAACAATTTTCCATCGGAAGCACACGATTTAAGAATTGAACCTTTTACTAAAGCAACCCCACATAAAGGGGTAAAGAATGCTGGAAATGAAAGTAATGATCATCAACAACATCATCAATTACATGTTGATATTTCCTGGCAAATACCCCCAAATAGTAAGGGAGAGGGAATAAAATTGAGGGGAATAATCTCTTAATTTTTACAGATTCTACAAAAGCATTGAAAGGTTTTTTGTTGGAAATTGATGGAGAAAATGGGAGAAAACATGCCTGTTTTTTATTAAATGTATGAAAAAATAATTTTAAAAATCAACTAATTTTATTTTAAAAAATATCAGGTTTCAAAAACTGTGTGGAGTAGTGAAAATATTGCTGCTTCGGTTAGTTAATAAAACAAAGTATTTTTCTTATTTTTAATTTTTAGCCACGTCTACACTTTTCTACTGATTCGCTTTTTAATTTTGGGCAGAGCTACCAAGTTGAATTATTCAGGTAAAAAATGTTTTTGAAGAACAATAAAAAGATAATTGTAAAACAAGTTTAGTTTTTGAGCTTATGAAACAAGTTTACTTTATGAATAAAATAAACTTGTTTTACTCGTAAATATATGAAAATAAACTTGTAAAAAACTAAAACAAGTTTATTTATGAATTACTGACAATTGTAAAACAAGTTTAATTAGCAAGTTTATTTATGCAATAAAAACAAGTTTATTTTATTTTAAAACAAACTTGTTGTAAAACAAGTTTTATTTTTAAAATTATTTTTTAAAATAAAACTTGTTTTACAACAAGTTTGTTTAAAATAAAATAAACTTGTTTTTGTTTCAACTTGTTGTAAAAACAAATTTATTTAAAAAGTTGGTTTTAAATATATCCCCTACCCAAGTGATCAACTAATATATTTTCCAATTATTTTCAGTTTGCCAGAACGTAGTGCTGGTTCAGGTGCCTCAGTCCACAATCAATTCAAAACTCCCCACCATCCTAGCGGTTCAGAAACAAATGTTCTAAACCAACAACTAATATCTCCAAACTGTACAAAAGTTGCAAATCAATTTGCCTCAAAATGGACAGCTGGTTTTAGACACATTTATGTTCACTCTGCTGCGCGTATTTTGCAAGTTGAATTTGTTGGGGCTCCTCCACAATTTTGTTTTGAACAATATGAGGTATTTAATTATCGGGAGTGTTAATAATTGTAAAACAAGTTTATTTTCTGAATTGTAAAACAAACTTTCTCAATTGTGAAAGTTTATTTTTCAAGTTTATTTAAAAATTGTAATTTTTTACAAATTGTAAAACAAGTTTTTCATTTTATTTTAAATTTTATTGTAAAACAAGTTTATTTTTCGAGTTATTACAAATTGTAAAAAAAGGTTGCAAAAATTTAATCGTAAAATAAGTTTATTTTAGAAGGTTGGTAAATGGTTAGAATACTATTTACCGTATTCACAATATACCGAAAGGGGTATTAATAAGGGGAAATGAGAGAATAAAAAGCCTACATATTTTCATTTTAAAGGTCCGACTTTTGGACGAAACTGGTCAAGAACTACTCTACTTTGGTGTTGTACCAGTTGAAGAAATGCAAAAGAGTGGAAGCCTAATTTTTGGAACTTATAATTTTACTAATTTAGAGGTGACGGGATTTTTTTTTGGAATTTAAAAATTTTGATTTTTAGTATGATAAAAATTACATTCCTTCTGTAATTCCTGTTGAGAGGGCAGCAGATGGTCGTTGTTTATGTCCAGTTTCCGGAAAGCCTTATGATGCGACTGCTGTATGTTCTTGTGTAGCAGCTGATTGGCACTCTGTTAGAATGACTCGTGAGTTTTGAATACAAAATTTAATAAAAAAAACTTTAATGACATGTTTTCCGGAAAATTGGATTCCGGAAAACATTACATATTTGTATTTTCATATTTAATGTTAATCAGGGTGTCCCTTTCCAAAACACCAAAATAGGGCGAAGCTACTCAAAAATATGGCAAAAATAGGGCGAAATTGGTCAAAAATAGGGCAAAAAATAGGGCATTGTTTTAAACACTTAAGAATACTTAAAATTTTAAAAAGAAAGCTCTATTATGCATATTTTTCAATATTTTAAACTAAATTTTCAATTAAAAATTTCTTTATCATTAAATATCAACTTGTGACTAATCTATTTTATTGGGGATATCCTCTTTAATCCCAGAATACCGTTAATTAAATTACCCTTAAGAAAGCAAATATCACAGATAATTTAAACATGATATCCCCTAAAACGTACCATCGATTCACGACCAAATCCCCAAATCCCCGTACCATAATCGAAGAATTCTTCCAATTTTCAGCGCCGCAGGCGCTGAAAATTTTTTGAAATTTGGAGCTCAAGAAGCCAAATTTCATACATTTTTTGCGCCGCAGGCGAAAATTTTGAGAATTTTGGAGGCCAGGAAGTCAGAAATCCTTCATTTTTACCATTTTTTTTTACAAAATCCGAAGAATTTTTAAAATTTTACTAGATGATAAAAATAGGGCAAAAATATGGCAAATGAGAAAATAGGGAAAAAATAGGGCGAAATTGTCAAAAATAGGGCAAATGCCCTGTAAATAAGGCAAAAGGGACACCCTGATGTTAATACAAAAAAGTTCTGGAAAATACTATGTATACAGTTCCGTAAAATATAAACAATTCCGGAAAATACATATAAATATTTCCGGAACGAATGAACATTTCCGGAAAATACATATAAATATTTCCGGAAAATATAAACATTTTCGGAAAATATAAACATTTTCGGAAAATAAAAACATTTCCGGAAAATACATATAAGCATTTCCGGAAAATACATACAGACAATTCCGGAAAATACAGACATTTCCGGAAAATTACTTAATTAAAGAAAATGTATTTTTATTTGTATTTTCCGGAAAATTAAACAAATAATTTTATTAACAAAATTCCTTAAGGTCCTGATGTACTCAAACTCTGCCCTGGTTGCCCTTCTCAAAACGACACCCTCGCTTTATTATCACCTCCAGTCAACTACGAAAATTCTTTGCGAGATCAGGGGAGTAATTCGACATTATGGTAAAAAGTAGATTTTTTACCTTAAAAAATTTTTTTTTATTTTTTAAAGGATTCTTTTGTTGGTTTTTAATTGTTTATTTTTGCTACTAATTTTCCTTCTAATTGCCGCCTACCTCCGTTGTCGCATTTTTGGCTCCGCCCCCTACAAGAACCAGTTCCGTCGTATCCGGTTTATACCTACTACAAATACACAACAACAGAATCATTGTTTACCTCAAATATCCAAAAGCTCTCCCCCAACTTCTCTCGCTGTTTGTACCAACTTGGCACTTGGGACAGTCTCTACGAGTTGTAACTCGTCCTTAGCTGTGCCGTTAATTTCTAGTGAATCCGAAGAAAGTGAAGAACAAAAGAAGGGAGAATGGACAAATCTAACATTATTAATTATTTATTCTCATGATTGTAAAATGCATGAACAAGCAGTGTTGGCACTAGCGGAGTTTTTGAGAGATCGTTTTGGTATTAATGTAAAGGTAATGTACTTAGTATTTATTATAGTATTCCGGAAAGTAGTAATATATTTGTATTTTCCGGAAAGTAGTAAAATATTTGTATTTTCCGGAAAGTAGTAAAATATTTGTATTTTCCGGAAAGTAGTAAAATATTTGTATTTTCCGGAAAGTAGTAAAATATTTGTATTTTCCGGAAGTGTGTTATAATCATTTGATTAAATGTTTAAGAAAATTTTCCGGAAACTTGTAGTATACTTAAAGTTTATGCATAGTGTATTTTCCGGAATTTCGGGAAATTAAAATTATGCATCCGGAATTTAGTAAATTGTGCTTTCCGGAAAAATAATAAATTCGAGATATATTGTTTAAATTGTATTTTCCGGAAAATAAAATAACAAAAATATTCATAGTTGTACATCCTAAAAATATTTCCGGAAAATATTAAAACATTTTAATATAATTTCCTTTATTTTTCAGTTAGACCGTTGGGAAACAACACAAATTGATTCTAACCTAACCGATTGGCTGTCAGCTTCAGTAATTTCTGCAGACAAAGTTTTAATCATCAATTCTGAAGGCGCTTGGGAGCGTTACTTGGCTAAAATAAATTCTCATAGTCATTGGGTTTTGGAACGTAATGATAAAGGTCTACTTGACCATCTCTTTTTAGCTCATATTGACTTGGCTCTTCAGTGAGTAATTTTAATTTTTTGTAATATAATACTATTTCCGGAATATAAAAAATTATTATTTGTTTATTTTTCTGAAAAGGTTTAACTCTAATTCATGTGTTTTCCGGAAAATAAGAATAATGTTATTACTTATACTTTTTCCGGAAAATACTAAGTGATAACATCTTATTTTCCGGAAAGCACAAATTATAGTTATATATTTTCCGGAAATAGTTAATAGTATATTCAGAAAATAATATTTTCCGGAAAAACAATTTCCGGAAAAATATAACTCTAATTTTTGTGTTTTCCGGAAAACACAAATTATAGTTAGATATTTTCCGGAAATTGTTTAATTCTATATTCAGGAAAATAATATTTTCCGGAAAACAGGTTAGCGTTATATACTTTTTCCGGAAAAACTTTTTCCGGAAAAATATAACTCTAATTTGTGTGTTTTCCGGAAAATACATATTATTATCCTGAATATACATACCATTAAACAATTTCCGGAAAATGTATATTTTAACAGAAAAATTAATGTATTTTCCCCTTTTCTTTCCAGGCATCATTCAATCGTTTCTACTCGTTTTGCTTATTCAAAGGCAGAAAAAACTTTACCGTTGCTTCAGGGACGCCTTCAATATATTCTTCCTGATAATATTAGTCCTCTTATTTCTGCACTTTTTGGACAGAATTTGCGACAGGATGAACGACTCAGTTCTTCTTCATTATCAGAATATTCACAATTTGTTAAATTGAATGAATGTGTTAAGGAAATGGGTGAATTTATTAAACTAAAGCCTAATTGGTTTGCTTTGAGTCATTCAAAAATAATAACGATTGTTGATGAAAGAGAAGAAAAAGGTGAAGAAAAAGGAAGAAAAGAAGAGGAAAAGAAAGAAGAAAAAATAAAAATTGAAGAAGAAATTAAAATTGAAGAAAATTCAGAAATGTCAGAGGAAGAAGAAATATCCTCTGAAAAACGAAAAGATACTATTGGAGAAAGTAGTGGAAGCAGTACGGCTAAACTTGATAGTGGAATATTTGATTGGACTGGGAATGAAGAGGAAATGGCTAGCAATAAAGTTATGAGTGGTGAATTACAAAAGCAAACAAATAATTGGTATAGTGTTTGTTAAACTATTTCCGGAAAATAATAATAATACGTACAATTTTCCTGAAAAGTATAACTCTAATTCATGTGTTTTCCGGAAAATACTAATATTATATTTTATCATTTCCGGAAAATGTGTATTTGTATTTTTCCGGAAAATCTAAAGTATTTTCTTGGGAAAAAATACATTAAAAATACATCTCCCGGAATATTTTTATTTGTATTTTCCGGAAAACACAAAATATATTCAAATTTCCGGAAAACACAGAATATATTCAAATTTCCGGAAAACACAAAATATAATCTTTTCCGGAAAACACAGAATATATTCAAATTTCCGGAAAACACAGAATATATTCAAATTTCCGGAAAACACAGAATATATTCAAATTTCCGGAAAACACAAAATATAATCTTTTCCGGAAAACACAGAATATATTCAAATTTCCGGAAAACACAGAATATATTCAAATTTCCGGAAAACACAGAATATATTCAAATTTCCGGAAAACACAGAATATATTCAAATTTCCGGAAAACACAAAATATAATCATTTCCGGAAATTATTTTTCTAGAAAGGATATACCTTTAATGTAAATTGTATTTTCCGGAAAATCTAAAAACTAAAATAATTAAAATACAAAATATTTTCAGTTCTCCACATAAACTATCTTTACCTCTTCCCAATATTGGAGTAAAAACATTTCCGGACAGTATTAAAAGTTATAATCAAAACAGTGACGATTCAGGAATATTAACAGCAGATTCAATAAATTCAACAGACAAATTTCAACAACCAAAAAACAATTTAATAGACGAACAGAAGAGGATTATTTATTTAAGCTAACAATTCGAGAAGAGATTTTTGCCCAGATTTTACAAAAAAATTTTTTTTTATTTTTATTTGTCATTCCCATATTTCTTTTATCCCACTTTTAACTCAAAAACAAATATTTTTTCATTCCATTTTGTCCAAAAAAATTTTTTTTTCTTTCTTCTTATAATTTTTATTTTTGAAAGTTTACCCATATTAGTATGTACTATATTTTTCTGTTTATTCTCGAATGCCCATATTTACTCAAATATTCTATATATTTTTTTTCTAATTTTATTTTTTCTGTAGTGATAAAATTACGTTTTTAAATTTTTTTTTAAATTTTTCTGGAATTTGGTATAGGTCTTTTATGTAGTTCCGGAATATCTAATTTTTCTTTTTTAATTTCAAAAGTATCTTTTGTTTCATATTTATTTTTTTCCGGAAAAGAATAAAATATACTTGTTTTCCGGAAAACCTATTTAAAGAAAATACATTTTATATTGTTTGTGTTTTCCGGAAACAAGTATTTTCTTTGTTTTACCTTTCCGGAAAACACAACATAAATTTATTCGTGTTTTTCCGGAAACACAATACAAATTTATTTGTGTTTTCCGGAAAACACAAGACAAATTTATTTGTGTTTTCCGGAAAATACAACGTAAATTTATTTGTGTTTTCCGGAAACACAACACAAAATTATTTGTGTTTTTCCGGAAACAACTCAAATTTATTTGTGTTTTTCCGGAAAATACAACGTAAATTTATTTGTGTTTTCCGGAAACAACTCAAATTTATTTGTGTTTTTCCGGAAACAACTCAAATTTATTTGTGTTTTTCCGGAAAAGTATTACCTAGAAGCAATTACAAAAAATATTTTTATTAAACTAGAAAAAATAAAAGAATACTATTCAAAATAATAAAGTCTGGTGATAAGGTATATATATATTTATTTTTATAGTCTCGGAGATTGTAAAATATTGAGAATTCCTTTTCAAAAATATTAAGGAAAGTAATACAATATATTATTATAACTGAATTTATGGAATAGGTATTATGGAATTGTATTTAAAAAAATTTATTTTCCCATACATTTTTATTTTAGAAAGACCTCATGTTCACAGTTTGTTGGAAAACAAAAAATTATTAAAGACATGAAATTGATACATACTTTAAATAAATTTAGTATTTGTAGACAGAAATGTTTGTTCCTGTAAACATTTCTCAACGTGTTTTCCGAAAACAAAATTTGACCCTCTGTGAACAGGCCCAAAAATTAAATTATGGGAAAATTGTTTTTGGTAATTAAACTGGCTTAAAATAATTTGGGCTATAATAAGGAACTATATAAAAATATATTTTTTATTGCGGGAATATTGTGCAGGATTCATATTTTAATAGAGATTGGAATAAATACAAATCGAAACAAAATTTTACAAAATAGAAGCATTCCGGAGGGAAAAATTGTTTTTGTTTGATAGCAAACTTCCGAAAAATACACACGTTTATTTATTGCTACAAATATTTCTACAAAATGTGTTTTCCGGAAAAACACATTTATTTTTAAATAAAACATTAGGATCGATTTCCGGAAAAAATAAATATTGTCAGGAAAATACATGAATATATAAAATACATGAATATTTCCGGAATGTGTTTTCCGGAAAATACATTTGCGACATTTCAGGATTTTAAACTTCCGGAAAATACACACGTTTATTTATTATTATAAACAAAATGTGTTTTCCGAAAATACATTTGTTTTTAAATAATTAAAATATTTAAAAGAAATGTGTTTTCCGGAAAAACACATTTATTTTTAAATAAAACATTAGGATCGATTTCCGGAAAAAATAAATATTGTCAGGAAAATACATGAATATATAAAATACATGAATATTTCCGGAATGTGTTTTCCGGAAAATACATTTGCGACATTTCAGGATTTTAAACTTCCGGAAAATACACACGTTTATTTATTATTATAAACAAAATGTGTTTTCCGAAAATACATTTGTTTTTAAATAATTAAAATATTTAAAAGAAATGTGTTTTCCGGAAAACATTGACCGATCAAAATTACTCCAATCTCTATTATTAAAATTTGGTATATATTTTTTCCACAAAAAATAAAAATCTGCAAAAATTCTTTTTACCTTTTCTAAACAACACTCATTTAGGTTTATAAAGTGAAGCTAAATGTGTAAGTTGATTTCCAATATTATGATAAAATGCAGCTTGTTGAGAAAAGAAGGATCCAAACATTGTAGCAAAATCTAAATCACGTTCAGATTGTTGATGGTTAATTTCTGCAAGCATTGAATAAGAACAAACATCCACTGAAAAAAATTTATTTTATTTTTCTTAATTGAAAAAATTCCTTTTTCACCCTTTTGTCGAATATTTTCAGCGTCTTCAGCAGATAATTTGCCTTCATTTTGGTACCTTTCATTTTCACGTATTTTAGCAAATGCTGACTAGAAAAAAAAATTTTTTTTATTAAAAATTATATTAAAATTCACTTTATGTATATTAACAACATCGGGTATCGCCGCAAACGTTCCTTTAGCAACAAACAAAAAATCTAATAATTGTTCCAAATGTTTGTGTCCATATTCTTCGTGTTGTTCACCAATCTTATGCAAAACATGAGCACTTGTTTTTATGGCGTTTTGAACGGAAGAATTGTTTGCTAGAAATTAAAACATTGTTTAGATTAATTTCTGATTATATATTGATGATGTTCAGATTAATTTCTGATTTTTAAAATTTAATTCTGATAATGTTCAGATTAAATTCTGATTTTATAATTGAATTCTTATAATGTTTTTATTAAATTCTGATTTTTAAAATTTAATTCTGATAATGTTTAGATTAAATTCTGATTTTTAAAATTTAATTCTGATAATGTTTAGATTAACTTCTGATTGTTAAGATTTAATCCACATATATTGTTTTTAGTAAATTCTGATTTTTTAAAATTTAATTCTGATGTTTTTATTAATTTCTGATATAATAAATTCTGATTCGATTGTTCAGATTTAGTTCTGGTATTGTTGTTGTTTTCAATTTCTGATTTGTTTTTAAAATACAAAATTTGTTTTATTAACTTTTATTTCATGTTTATTTTAAATTCTGATTATTGTTGGTCAAACAAAAACATTTAATTACCATTTCCCCCAATATCCAAAGATTGCCCAAGTGAATCAAAAGCAGCTGCCATCTTTTGCCAATTAGCTTTGTATGCTTTAAATAATTTTTTAAAAATTATTTAATTAAAATTAATTTACGTCCAGCCATTCTTTTTTGTGTTTCAACTACTTGATCATATATTTTTCGACAACTTTCGTCAAGACTTCGTGACAAACGAGCAAATCGTTCTACGGCGGTGCCTCTAAAAAGTTCATTAGAATTTTCTGGTTTGAATTTAAATTCTGATTTTGTTCAGAATTCTGATTTTAAATTCTGATTAATTCTGATTTTATTTTTAATTAATTCTGACATTATGTTCTGGTTTTCAATTCTGATTCCAATCAGAATTCTAATTTTAATTTCTGATTAATTCTGACTTTAAATTCTGGTTCTGGTTATCAAATCCCCACACTCTCTCCCCTTCCAAACTCACACATTAGCCACATCCAAAACAACATTTGGAGCATTAACAGAAGAGAAAAAATTTCCCCCAACATATTCATCTCGTTCTGCAAGTCTTTTTCCTTTCTTCCATTTTGTTTCGTCTGTACAAGACATAAAATGCTTCCATACTTCTGATTGGGATAATACTGGATGTCGACAAATTTTATTAACCCAAAGTTGAAGGATGGAACGACGATGTTCGATTAAATCTTCTTCATAACGACCTTTAAATGTTTTTCTCGTTAAAATTTTTTGTAGTAATTTAATTCTGATTTTTGTTTGTTTAAAATTCTGATTTTGTTTTTATTAAATTCTGACGTTTATTTGTTTGCTTAAAATTCTGGTTTTTTATTTGTTTTAATTTCTGGTTTTTATTTGTTTAAAATTCTGATTTAATTTGTAAGTGTTCGATTTAATTTCTGATGTTTTTATTAAATTATGATATTTGTTTATTTAAAATTCTGGTTTTTTATTTGTTTTAATTTCTAGTAAATGTTTTTATTAAATTCTGATTTTTGTTTGTTTTAAATTACCCGAAACTTGTTTCTCAGGTAGTGGTGGTATTGGAATAATTAAATATTTGTTTGTCAATTGTAAGTGTAACCAATCAAATTGTTTATAACGTCGCGAAACTTGAATTCCTGTTGTTGAACATGTAAGAGAATAAGCAATAAAACTCTTAAAACATTTGTTTTGTTTTAAATTATAAAAACAACAAAAACAAACTTTAAGCCCTTTAAGTTTTGTTTCTTTTTTAGGTTTAGTCACATTACAAGTATAATAAGTAGATGGGTTGTTCCACATAACTTGAAAAGGGAAAAATTTTTTTCAAAAAAAAATATATTTTATTTACCTCCTTCCACTCCACCAATTCTGGCATCCTAAAAGTAAAAAAAAAAATTATTTTTATTTTGTTCAGAAAAAAATCAGAATTTATACCAAAATTATTTGAGGCTGTTCAACTGGAGAACAAGTAAATTTGGCTGTAGAGAGAATATATCCTTCCATTCCCGTTTTGACAAAATTCGTAAATCTGTAAGAAAAAAATAATTTTTCGAAAAATTTTTTCAAAAATTTCTGAAAAAATTTCTTAAAAATTTTCAAAAATTTTTCGAAAATTTTTTTTCAAAAAATACACACCACGTACCTATTCAAATTTTTAATTCGAGTAGTTCCCCCAGTAGCAATTTGTTGTTGCTGTTGTTTACTAATTATTTGACTACCAGTCTCCGGGCCAGTAGAATGACTCCTTCCAACCATTTTATTAGTTGAATTGGTGGTGGAATCATTAATAATTGAATGAGACGCGCTTGTAAATTCCTAAAATTAAAACAAATTGAATTTGAAAATTTAAAAGATAAAAAATTTGTAAATACTAGACAACACTAAAATTAGGTTTCGTTTAAGCTCCCAAAAATCCACCAAGTTTAACATAAAATAAAAAAAAATGCAAACGTCGAGAATGTGATGCCTTGAAGATATTCTAGGAGGTAAAGAAGATACTTAAAGATGTTCAAGAGAACAAGAAAAATAAAAAAATCGGGTTGACCAAAAATTTCCAGGGCAATTTACAAACACACATTTCTATCGTGACTTTACAACAAAAATGTACATACTAAACAAACACAATACTAACAACAACGCATTAAAAGTTAAATAAAAATCACCAACAAAATCACCAAAAAACAACACAAAAAATCAACAAAAAAAACTACTACACAGACTTGTATACAAAACTACCAGCACAATTATGTACTAGCCTGTTTTCCCGTTGTTGTAGTTGTTGTTTTACTCGTAGTTTCACTTGAAGTTGTTAAAAGTGAATGTTGTTCTACTAAAATTGTTTTTTCTTTAGTGAATAATTCTTCTCCTCCTCCTCCTCCTTTTTTAGATTTTTTATTTTCTTCTTTTCCTCCTTCTTCTTGTTCAGATTTATTTAAAACATCTTCAATTTGTTGCTGTTCTTTTGAAGAAGTATACTCAAATACAAAAAAAAATCCCATAAATTTATATAAGCATTCCCCAAGGGAGATTATAGTTAGAAATAGACTAAAGAATGTGGTTCATTAGCTAAAGATTTTCTTTTCTTTTTTTTCTTGTTGCTGGCTCAGCGCGCAGCCTACTACATATAAAACTCACAGAATTTATAAGGATCTCTTATTGAAATCCTCAAAAAAATTTCCTTTTTTAATCACTTAAAATGGCCATCACAGTTTCGGCCTTGAGAACGGACTAGAAAGGTTAACTCGAAAATTGCCGATTCTCAACAAACCCAGACTTTAGTTCGAGAAACATCATCTCGGTCAAATCACAGTTCCAATCCTCACAAAATGCAAAAATTAAAAAAAAATCAGAATGGAAACACAATCAAATTCATTATTAATCTTTTTAAATATACACTGATATTCTCACATTATTATTAACAACCTCCAAATTATTGTCGTTTATATTATCAAAATTAACAAGTTCCTCATTATTTAAATAAAAAGAAGTATTTGTAGCTCTTCTACGGGCAAATAACATTTTTTTTAAATTTTTTTACAATTTTTGGGATCAAAGAAAAATTTTTCTTTTTATAGTTAAACAAATTTAAGGGATCAGAAATGGTCCATTTTTGAACCTCACAATTTTATTTGAGGGCTTCTCTCATGTTTAATCCCCTTTCAAGCTAACAATGGAAGGACAATAGACAGCTAATTTTTACTCCTACAATTTTTGGACTTGCTTCCGTCTTTTTACCATAAAAAGGAACACTTTTCATGGCCAAAAACAAAACCAATTTTTTAAAAAATTAGAAAAAAAATTAAAACTCACAGCAACCTCCTCATCCTCATCAGACCAATCATCGTCAAAATCATCATCAAAAGAGGGAGCTGTTCGGTCAGTACTACTTTCTGGAGGTTGATTTTGGTTGTTTTTGAAACCAAATGTTGAAGCTACGAAAAAATCATTAAAAAATTTAAAAAAAAATTTTTCACTTTGTCCAAATTTAGGATCATCCCAAGGGTCAAAAGCTGGAGCAGAAGGCTCTTGTTGAATTGTTGGATAGAGTGAAGGGGTATTTGTTGTTGTTTTTGTTGTAGTTAAAGGAGCGGTAACTGGCGGAAGTTCATATATTGCTGGCACATTAGAAGGTGGAGGATTATTTACTTGAGGTAGAGGAGGGGGTGCTGAAGGCGGAGGAGGTCCCCCTGTCGTTGTTGCTGTGTTCTGAAACAATAAAAACATTAAAAAAATCAAAAATGCTTGAATCCTAATGTTTTTATCAAATTCTGATTTTTTTGTTTTTATTAAATTCTGATTTTTGTATTAAATGATGTTTAGTTTAATTTCTGATTTGAGTTTGCTAAATTTCCGATAATGTTTTTAATTAATTCTGATCTTGTTGGTAGAATTTCTATGTTTTTATAAATTCTGATTTTTATTTAATTTCTGATGTTTTTAATAAATTCTGATTTTATGTTTATATTAAATTCTGGTTTTGTATTTGTCAAATTTCTGATCATGTTTAAAACAAATTCTGATTTTTATTAATTATGTTTATTTTAATCTCTGATTTTATTTTGATAAATTTCTGATATTGTTTTTAAAAAATTCTGATTTTTATTTAATTCTGGTTTTTTTTTGTTTATATTAAGTTCTGATTTTTGTATTTGTTAGATTTCTGATTATGTTTTTAACAAATTCTGATTTTTATTAATTATGTTCATTTTAATTTCTGATTTTATCTTCTAAATTTCTGATAATGTTTTTATTAAATTCTGATTTTTAATTCTAATTTTGTTTTTATTAAATTCTGTTTTTTGTATTGAATCATGTTTTTATTAATTTCTGATTTTTGTCTTTATTACTTGTTGTTTTTATTATTATGTTTTTATTTGTTTGTTTGAGGCAGAGAAGAACACACAAATACTAAGATTTTAATAAGAACAATGTTTGACTTATTATTAAGGAAAATTAAGGGGGATTTTAAATTAAAATTTCTCCAACTATCAATCCCCAATAAATAACCAAAAGTGCAGGCATTAATGTAGTAGTAGCAACATGCTGCGCTACTCCATAAATAGCAGTAAATTTAGGTTGTGAACGTCTTCTATGAGTTATAGACCGACGTAGTAAAGCTGTTGCAGAGGTAGAACGAGGGGTTGTTGAAGAAGAAATTAGAGGAATACAAAGACTTCCTCGAGGTGTTGAAGTTAATGATTTATTATTTTTGTTGAGTAAGAGTTCTGTTGAAGCAGCGTCTAATAAATGGACACGGCCAACAAATTGACAGCCTAATTAATTAAGGGGGTCAAGTTGAGGGGAAAAATAGAGAGAGAGGGGAGGTTGCAGCTTAATAAAATTGTCAAAAGAGGAGCTAGAAAGCTGAAATTTTGTGGGGATCTAGTTAACACCGTCAGATATCTACTTTAAAAATTTCAGAATTTTTGGTTTATTATTTCAGAAATTCTGGTCAAAAAGGTTCCAGTTTTAGTCAAAAAAGCTCCATTTTAGCACATCTTAAGTCTTTTTTTGACCAGAATTTCTGAAATAATCCAAAAATTCTGAAATTTTGTGGGGATATAGTTAATACTGTTAGATAGCTACCCTAAAAATTTCAGAATTTTTGGGTGATTATTTCAGAAATTCTGGTCAAAAAGATATATTTTAAGCCCATTTTAAGTCTTCTTTTTGGCCAGAATTTCTGAAATAATAATCCAAAAATTCTGAAATTTTAACTAGTGTTAGGTAACACTTCTAGGGATAACTAACCAAAATTTACTGGTTTTAGCTACTCATTTGACTATTTTATAAGCATAAAAAGTAGGCCTTCTAAGCTAAAATAAGGGAAAGGGGGTTTATAGGCCAAAAATTGAAAGAAAAAAATTTTTTCCTTCAAAAATTGCTCCAAAACAGTCAAAAATCCCCAAAAACTCCTGTCAACATTTTCCAACCTAAAGGTGCTAAAAGAGCTGCACCAGTCGAAATTTTTGATGGGTCTAAGACAGAACAAGTATGTCGGCGAACTAAAAGTGACCGACGACGATATTCTTGATGATTGTCGTTATTGTTGTAGTTATTTGATGATGAGGAATTTAAATTAGTATTTTCACCTCCTCGACGAAATGTTGAAGCAAATAACATTTTTTTTAAAAAATTCTCAGAAAAAAATTTTTTTAATTGATGGAATAATGAAGGAGGAAAAAGGCCCGTATGATGTGAGGGCATATTTTTTGATCACCCTTCTTCAGATTGGGTCAAAACTAAGAGCTTAGGGTATAAAGTGATCAAAAAATATACAAGAAATTTTAACAGCAGAGGAGTTTCTTATTTGTATTTTATGACAATTCTTAAAAATACGAGGTACCGTATATACTCTATTAATTACCCTGGGTAATTATTGTTTCGACCTTACTCTGGAGAGGGTAATTAATAGAGGCGGGGTAATTAATAGAGGTTATTTTAGGGAGGCTAATTATAACTATTTTTAAGGGAGTAATTATTGTTTCAACCTTTCGCTGGAGGGGGTAACTAATAGAGGTGGGGTAATTATTTGAGGGAGGGTAATTAATAGAGTATATACGGTAAATGGGGACTCCAATTCCGAAAACAATTTCTAGAAAATTTTAAAAATTCCAAATTTGGACTAGTTGCAATTATCGACATTCCCAACCTGCCTCTGCTGCTATACAAATGAAGAAAAAGGAGACAATAAAGGTTATCGGTTCGAGAGAATTATCGGTTCGAGGGGATTCTTTGGGTATTCGGCATTAACCAGGGTGACCCTTTTACCCTATTTATAGGGCATTTGCCCTATTTTTGACTTTTTCGCCCTAGTTTTTCCCTATTTTTTCATTTGCCATATTTTTGCCCTATTTTTACCATTTTGTAAAATTTTTACAATTTTTACAGTGAAATGGCTGAAAATTGAAGAAATCTGACCGTTATCCTTCCAAAATTCCTAAAATTTTCGCCTGCGGCGCAAAAAAGAAGAAATCTGGCTTCTTGGTCCTACAAAATTCGCAAAATTTTCGCCTGGGGTTCTGAAAAAGGTTGAATCTTTGAAGACTTTGTGTGAAATCGAAGGCCTGCGGCGCTGAAAAATAAGATAAAGAAGGGCTCGAGTGGAATATAGGCTGATTTTTATTAGAGAAGATTTTGGAGAATATACTAGGATTATGGGGGAATTGACTAGATAACAAGGGAATTGCATTGATTAAGAGAGATCAGTGGATTTGAGAGATTAATAATGTATAGGATGATTAAGGAAATGTAAGATAAAACTGGATATAATATAATTTTGAGTAAGGGTATATGAAGGGATACCTAAATCACCTTGAAATTTCCAAATCCATTCATAATTTCTCCCAATCCCATTATATCCCTCCAATTGACTCAACTTTCTAGTGCTTCTAGTTTTTCTGTTGTTAAGAATGAGAAAACTGACGAAATAAACAGAATGAAGGTCAAATTACTTAAGTCATTTGTCTCGATTAAATTAATTCTTATTTTAGTTATACCCAGGCGCATGATCTCATTATTTCTGAACCAAATTTACTTAATTTAGTTCGAAATAGTGAAAAATATGCGGTATTAAGCATTTTATTATAATTTTAATTATTTTCGAAGTGTTTTAAACAATGCCCTATTTTTTGCCCTATTTTTGGCCATTTTCGCCCTATTTTTGCCACATTTTTGAGTGGCTGCGCCCTATTTTAGTGGTTTGGAAAGGGTCACCCTGGCATTAACCCAAAACTTTTTGAATGGATTGAGAAATAAGAGTTTAGGGTCTAAGGTGATCCGATCCATCCCTGATATTCAGAACTGACAATTCCATTAGAAAATAAAAAAAAATCAATTTTCCTTGAAAATTATTAAATTTTCAAGAAACAATAAAAAAAAACTTTAGAAAAAAAAAGAATCAATGACAATTTAAAATAAAAATCGTGCCAAAAAAAATTTAAAAAAAAATTAAGAAAAGATGGACAAAGTTTTGTAAAGGACAGGAAGTTCCTCCTCCCCAAGGGAGAAAGTAACCAAAAATGTCAACACAAAAAAAGAAAGGCTATCAACTTCCTTTTAAAGAGCAAAAATGATGGAATAATTTTTAAATAAAATAAAAAAAAGTTCGTCACGATATTTTTTAAGATTGAAAAAATTTAATAAAATAATTAAACAATTTTTACAGAAAAAAAGGAAAGATGACATTTGGTCCAAATTTTGACAATTTGATTTTTTTAAAATTTTTTTTGTTAATTTATATGAAAATTTTAACTATAAAAATTAAAAATACAAGTTTAATTAAAAACCCCAGGAAATTTCAGTTAAAATTAAATTTAAAAACAAAGAGGTGAAATTTGGTCCCACTCCAAAATTTTAATTTTTGAAATAGTTAAACTATTTTTAAGGGTAACATGGTCAGCTGAACATAAATTTGAACTTTATTTTGTCTAAAATTAAATTAGCAAAAAAATAATAAAAATAATGAAAAATAACAATGAAATTTATGAGAGAGATGACATTTGATCCCAAAGATTAAAGGGGGAGTAGAAGGATGGGAATTTATTAATTTTCTGTTTAAATTATAGATATTCTCAAAAATAATTTTAAAAATAAAAAAGAAAAAAGAAAAATTGAATAAAATCAATCGAAAATTGGGTCAAGTTAGTCGAAAAAATATTTACAAATAATTAAAAGGTTGAAAAATAGTCTCAAAAAAATTCGAAACTAATTCAATCAAAAATAGATATATTACATTAAATTCGATTTTATTAGACTAATATTGATAAGGATACGTTTAATTTAAAGAAAATTGGTCATTATTGACAAAAATAAAGAAATTTTAGGAAAAATTATTAAAAAATGACATTTGATCCCAAAGGTTTATAATTAGAATAAAAAATAAAAATAGCCTTCAAATTGTATAACCCACGACTAAATAGAGTTCAAATTCAAGTTCAGCACCCAAAACAAACCCAAGAAAAGGGATTAAGTAACTTTAGAATTAGAAAATTGGAAGGGCAAGGGATAGAAAATTAGGTCGATTTACTCGAAAAGACCGAAAAAATTCCTCAAATCATCCTTATAGACTTAAAAATAAAAAATAAAAAAAGAAACCTTGGACATAAGCATTTTAGACACATAACTTGCCGGAACTAGACCAACTTTTCCTTTAGAGTTGCGAACTTCAATCCAACCGCCATCTATTCCCTTAAATTAAATTTGGAGAGGAATTGAAGGGAGAGGCTTCTAAAGTCTTTTGAAGCCTATTAACCCCTCTATAAACACCTCAAAACCCCTAAAACACAAAAAAACCTCTTTCAGAACAGTCACAACTTCTCCAGATTTAATTGTAAGTTCTCCACTTGCTGGCTGGGCGTCAAAGTCAAATTCAACTTTTGCTTGAGTTTGGGCCATTAAGTGTTTAAAAACAACTAAAATTACTAAAAAAATAAAAAAAGGCAAAAAAAACCCCCAAAAACAAAAAAATTAAAAGTTAATCCCAAAAAATCCCCAATAAATCTATTAGTCATTTACAGCCCAATTAGGCGCGCGCCATAACGGCGCAAAGCTATAACTTGCTTCAAAATTTCCGAATTTTACCAAATTTAGTATTAAACGATTCCTCTCATCGAGCTGAAGAGTTTGGTACCAAAATTGATAAAGGCCAGAAGATTTCCAGCAAGTTATGGCTTTGCGCCGTTATGGCCGCGCGCCTACTTGGGCGTATCCTACTTAAGGAATTATAGACACACAAGTTTAGTGTTCACAACAAAAGAAGAGAGACAGACCGTGCCCGCTCAACTCATCGAATCCTTAACTCATCGAATCGACCAAAAACGCTCAACTCATCGAATCGGCTAAAATTCCTCAACTCATCGAATCGGCCAAAAACACTCAACTCATCGAATCCTTAACTCATCGAATCCTCAACTCATCGAATCGGCCAAAAACGATCAACTCATCGAATTTTTCCAAAGGGGACGTTTGAGTCCCCTGTTTTTATTTTTCTCCCGAAAGGGCTAACTGAATCTTCGTTGAAAAAATTTTTTGCTGCTATGGAGGCTAGGAAAAAGGGGTTTTGGGCATAATCGGGGTCTACTGGACTAATTTGGTCCGGTTTTACCCGGTAAAATCTCCAGCATAATTTATTAGGAATGAGATAATGTTTTCAGGAATGAGATAATGTTCTGATAATGTTTTCACTGGCCGGATAAACTTGGATGAGTGCCCGATCAACTAATTAACAAAATTAGTTGAAACCCCAGAAGAAAACAAAAAAAAATAAACAAAACAATAAAAAATCTAAAAAATAAACACGGGGACTCAAACGTCCCCTTTTGGAAAAATTCGATGAGTTGATCGTTTTTGGCCGATTCGATGAGTTGAGGATTCGATGAATTAAGGATTCGATGAGTTGAGTGTTTTTGGCCGATTCGATGAGTTGAGGATTCGATGAGTTAAGGATTCGATGAGTTGTAGGGTAGCCAGACAGACAGTTTACAGACTAACAGAGAAAGTTGTGAAGAGAGAGATTTTACTATTAACAGAAAAACAAAATAACTACATACATTTCGCCAATCTGTGAAAAAATAGACAATTTGCCTCAAAGTAGAAAATACGACATAATGCCACTAAGTATGAAATTGCCATTTTGTCAATAAGGAAAAGACTGTTGTAAATCAGTCTTGTTAACATGCCCAAATCCACGACAATAGATAAATTGATTTTAAGGATAAGGAAAGAGGAGGGAAGGGGGGGGAAGGGAGGGGGGAGAAGGGATTTTTAATTTTTCCTCTCATTATTCAATTCTTTTTCTTTAATTTTTTAATTGTCTGAATTGCCAGAGATGATTTTTAATTTTTAATAAAAATAAATTTTTTTTAAATTAAAAAACTATAGTTGTTAAATTTATTAATTTTTGTTGTTTTTCTATTATTTTTAAAAAATTTTTTGCCTTCTAAAATTGTGGGAGAAAAAAATTTTTTTAATAAAATAAAATATTTCTTCCCTCTATTTTTAACGTCACCAAATAATTATTTTTTAAATTAAATTTAGAGTTTATAAAAATGTTTTTATTTTTTCTTTTAATTTTTTGTCAAAATGTTGACTATGTAAACTCTGGAATTATAAATTGTAAAAATTATTTTTTAAATTATTTTTTTTTAATTTGGCCTGGAAAGACAACAAATAACTTTATCTCCCCCAACAATACTTGTTGAACATTAGAGACCATAACTTGAAAAATACATGACCAAAAATTCTGAAATTTTCAGAAAAATTAGATATCCCCTTAAACTATAACCCTACAAAATTTCAAGTTTTTAACTTTATTTTAAACTGTTTTATGGAAGCGCACGCCCAAACCTTTCTGCGCCCAAATAAAATACTTTGTTTAACGTTAGCGACCATAACTCGGGAAATACATGACCAAAAATTTTGAAATTTTCAGGGAAATTAGATATCCCCTTAAACTATAACTATACAAAATTTCAAGTTTTTAACTTGATTTTAAACGGTTTTATGAAAGCGCACGCCCAAACCTTTCTGCGCCCCCACACAATACTTGCTTGGACATTAGCTACCATAACTCGAGAAATGCATGACCAAAATTTTTAAAATTTTCAGGGATATTAGTCATCCCATTAAACTATAACTATACAAAATTTCAAGTTTTTAGCTTGTTTTTAAATGGTTTTATGGACGCGTGCGCCCAAACCTTTCTGCGCCCAAACATGCTTTTAAGTTTTAAAATTTTATTTTAAATTTAAGCCACTACGAGATATATAAATGAGCAATCTTTTTTATTTTCTCCTCACAATTTAACATTAACACTAAATTTGTTGGAATATCATTTTGATGAGTTATTTGAGGAAAGAAGCCTTTTTGATATAAATTATAATCACAAAGCTGGGAAAATTTTAGAACAAATTACTCTCATTTCTCAATTTCATTTGTTATATTCATCGATGAAGCATTGTAAAAAGACCCTCGAGAGAATGAGGTTGTTATTATTCTAGTACCTTACTTGTTTGTTTGTGTGTTTTTGTATTTTGCCTTTGTGTTTTCTTAGCTTTGTGTTTTCGATTTTCGTGTTTTTGCATTTTTTTTTGTGTCTGTGTTTTTGTGTTTTTTGGTGTTTTGTGTAAATGTTTTTGTGTGTTTGTGTTTTTTGGTGTTTCTGTGTTTATGTTTCTATTTTTGTGTTTTTTTGTGTTTCTATTTATGTGTTTCTGTATTTGTGTTTTTTTGTGTTTCTATTTTTGTGTTTCTGTGTTTGTGTTTTTTTGTGTTTTTTGGTGTTTCTATTTATGTGTTTCTGTATTTGTGTTTTTTCGGTCTTTGTATTTGTGTTTTTTTGTAATTTGTGTTTTTCCTTTAATGTTAACCTCTTTTAAGGCTTAAGGATAAAGATTTCTATTTATATATAAATCCAAAGAGAGGTCTTTGCAAATTAATTAATATGCGAAGAACACTTGTCGATCTTTTGATAAAAGATGAGAATGTTAATTATAAAGTAAGGGAAATAAAAAGTTGTGATTTAAACGAATTTGCCGAGGAATTTGTTGAGAAAAACAGAGAAGAATTACAAGAAGCTAATTTTATTGTTTTTTATAATTATTTAATTCTTAAAAGAGAAAATTTTTTGGAAAGACTTGGGTATATTAAATATATATTTAAATATTTTTTGTTTGTATGAAAGGAAAGGAAAAAAATTAAATGCATTAAAAAGCATATTTAAATTCTCCAAGAGTGGATACATATATGCTCTTACATTCAGGGTTTAAGGCAGTGTCACCTGCCGGGACCGATCCAGAATGGGAAATCGAGTTGTGAATACCAACAGAAATCCGTGTCAGGTGTTTTCATTGGTGGAAGGACACTTGACACTCGGTAGAATACTCACCAAGACATTTGACACGGATGTCTTGTTGTGAGAGCCGTTAAGCCTCCCATTTAAGATAACCTAGTTATAGTTTACATTTCCCACAGGAGTATTTTATAGTGTGGCCCGATTATAAATTTAAATTTTGTTTTTAGTGGTTATTACTCCTCGTGGAATGCCCATAGACCTACTAAATTAGAAGAACATTTCGAACACCTTTTTGGATATGCTCGAATGATTTCCTTAAAATTATTCATTTTTGAACGAGAATTAATTTATTCTGAAGAAAAAAGAATGTCAATTTATTTGAAACTTTATAAGGAATATTTTACTAAAGGAATTATTGGTAGATGGCAGGTTTCAATGCCACTTAAATTTTTAATTTATCAAGACTGGCAAATGGAATATACTGTAAAAGGTGTGGCTAGTATTTCAAACGATTACTAGACAGGGGCTTAAGACCGTCTTATAAAAAAGAGACAGATCAGGCCTGGAGTAGCTCAGTCGGTAGCGCACCTGTACTTTTATGAGTGAAGCTCCATAACTGTCAGAAGGTCGCAAGAATGCCTGCTAGGGGTTAAACAATTACCTCTCCCTTACTCTGTTATATACCTCCAGTATAACTGTGTATTCCCAATTTAGAGTTGATCTTTACTTTTTTTCTGGCAAAAATTTTTTTGTAGATTCCGATTTGGGTTTAAAAGATTTCTGGGAAGAACTTGATGCCATTTATTGGCTTGGAATTTATAATGAAGTTAGAATTACTGATGAATTTATTAACAAAAATTCACCTAAGATAGAAGACAATGAACCAATTTTTAAAGATTTTAACGTAAGTGAATTTATTATTCTACCTAAAAGGGTATATATTTCTTTAATCATCGATCAAATTTAATAGAAATTGAATGTGTTCCGGTTTTTCTCGGTAGATCTCTCCATGGGTCGATTAGATCTCTTAACTTCAAAAGGAGTTGGTAACTTGAAGGAATATTTATTCTTTTTTAGAAAATTTATTTAAACCCAAAAGATTTTGCCAAACTTAAATTGTCAAAACAATTAATATTCCAAGAAGCAAAAAAATGTTATGAAATTGAAGAGGAAAAGAAAAAAGAAAATGAAAGGGAAAAGCAAAAAGAAATTAAAAAATCAAAAAAATCTGACCCTCCAATTAAAATACTCCGCTTTGGGACACGAAAAAATTTGGCAGCTTGTTTACAAGAAAGAATGAATAAATTTGAGGAATTTAAAGAAGAAAATTTAATAGAGCAAGCAAAAATGATAACTGGGAATTTTGTAAAAGTACTAAAATATTTTAGAAAGAAAAATGCTGATAGTAAAGAATATAAAGAAATTATTAGTTTATTGAAGGAAAAATGTAATTTTTTTAATTTAAGGGTTTTAAATGAGAATTATTACAATTTGTAAAATAGGCGGAATTATTCATTTTTACAATTTGTAAAATGTTTTATTAAATTCCGGAAAGGTTTTTACAATTTGTAAAATGTTTTATTAAATTCCGGAAAGGTTTTTACAATTTGTAAAATGTTTTATTAAATTCCGGAAAGGTTTTTACAATTTGTAAAATGTTTTATTAAATTCCGGAAAGGTTTTTACAATTTGTAAAATGTTTTATTAAATTCCGGAAAGGTTTTTACAATTTGTAAAATGTTTTATTAAATTCCGGAAAGGTTTTTACAATTTGTAAAATGTTTTATTAAATTCCGGAAAGGTTTTTACAATTTGTAAAATGTTTTATTAAATTCCGGAAAGGTTTTTACAATTTGTAAAATGTTTTATTAAATTCCGGAAAGGTTTTTACAATTTGTAAAATGTTTTATTAAATTCCGGAAAGGTTTTTACAATTTGTAAAATGTTTTATTAAATTCCGGAAAGGTTTTTACAATTTGTAAAATGTTTTATTAAATTCCGGAAAGGTTTTTACAATTTGTAAAATGTTTTATTAAATTCCGGAAAGTGTTTTACAATTTGTAAAAATTAAATTAAATTTCGGAATTATTTTTACAATTTGTAAAAAATTACAATTTGCTTTTACAATTTAACAATTTGTAAAAAATTGTAAAAAATTAATTTTACAATTTGTAAAATAATAGGCGGAATTATTTATACATCTGTTTCAATGCTTTTACAATTTGTAAACTAGGCGTAATTATTAGTTCCGGAATAATTTAACTAAAAATTTATCGAATTTCCGAAGGGTTATAAATTTCTGTAAAAAGATTATAAATCCAGATTATAAATTTCTGTAAAAAACCCATAAGATAATTTTGATTGATAAATAAAATTTAATTTTAGCAAAGTTAATAGCATATATAACAAAAGAATTAACAAATCATACTCCCGAAGAGATAAGTGACCTTGTAGATGGAATAAAGAGGAAAAAAGCAACACAATTGGGTGAAAGCTCGAGTAGCACTAGGATAGAAGAAAAACATGGAGAAATTGAGGAAATCAAAGAAGAATCGGTTTTGATGGACGAAGATTTAAGAATGGAAGAAAGCATTGAAAATAAAAAACAGAAAGAAGAAGTGAAGGGATTAGAAAATAAAGGTAAAAGTATTGTTGAGGAAGGCATTGAAGAAAAGAATGAGGAAGAAAATTTGGGCGTTGTTAAAGGTAATTGTTAAACAAGATACCTAATTGTCTTTAAATCCATCTCAATAAATTAGGAGAACCAGGCGAACTTTTTCCGGAATTCTTTTTACAATTTGTAAAATTAAGACTTAAAATAATTTTTAGAGCAAATACCTACTCAATCGAAGAAGAAAGATGTAGTAGTAATACATCCTAAAAAGAATGATTCCCGAAAACAGTATCAATCAAGAATAGTCACTAAATTTTCCGAACTTAAACAAACTAGGGATGTGGAAAATAAAAAGACTAAAAAAGAAGAAACAAATTTAAATAAAAATATTAGGGAAGATATTACTTCCCCCAAAGTTTCTTCATCTGAAATTTCTTCTCCGAAAAGTTCTCACGGTGAAGTTAGTGAGATTTCGTTTTCTGATGAAAATATGGATAAAATTAAAGGTAAAAAGTGAGCAGGCCAACGTACCGCAGAGCTATAACTTCGTTCAGAATTGTCGAATCCGGGATGCCCTGGTACAGTTCGATTCAGCTCGTTGAGGCGCATAAAATCATAACAGAACGTCCAGGATTCTACAAATTTAAACCAAGTTATTTCTCTGCGGTATGTTGGACTCACGGTACGTTGGGGTGTACCCGGTAAAAAATATTTTTTTAATTTTAAAATAATTTAAAGAAATGTGTAATTTCTCCAACCAAAATCAAGAGGATACTGAGTCTATAATATTGACAGATGAACATTGTTTGGAAGAATTGTATATTTATTATTTTAAAGAGGAAAATAAAAATATTAAAGAAAATATAAAATTAATATTAGACATTGTTTTGTTCAAAAAATTAATTTGGGAAAAATTGGCAGCTTCGCAAATAATTATTTTGACTGACACGGTAAATGAGGAGAAGAAGAAAATGATGTTGGAAGTGAGAGAAGAATGGATAAAATTTGAAAGGGAAAAATTAAACAATTTGTTTCCGGAAAATTTTAAGGAAAGAGAAAGAAAATTGGGGTTGTTAGCAAATAAATTATATGAAATTTTTAATTCTTTGGAAGAATTATCATTTTTTGTTCCTAAAGAAGGGGAAAAATTTTTGGAAAAATTTATGAAAAAATTGTTGGTTTTTTTAGATTTTATTTAAAAAATATTTTTAAAATAAAAAATTAAAAAATTTTCAGGCAAAAAGAAAATTTTAAAGAGGATGTTAACACTAAAGGAATGGATACAATTAAAAAGATTAGTGTACAGCTTCATTTCCACACATTTTCTTTAATTATTGCAAGAAAAATAGGAATAATATCTGAGGATTATATTAAAATTCCCAAAGAAAATTTTACTCCATTTTCTGAATTTGTAACAGAAAATGGAATTGTTGAATTTAATTTTTTTGAAAAATTAAATATTTTGGATAATGTTGATGATACTCAACCTATTTTTATGAAAAATGAAACGATTTTAAAATTTATACAAAAGTTTATAATTAAAGTTAAAGCATTAAAATTAATCTTGGAACAGCAAAGTTTGGGTAATTACAATTTATATTTAATATTTGTAAAAATACAAATTTCCGGAAGTAATTTACAATTTTAAAAACATTTGCAAAAATATAAGAATTCGAATTTGTAAAACAGACGGAATTAAATTGAGAAATTAAATATTTCCAGAAATATTTTATTAAATTCCGGAAAAGTTTTTACAATTTGTAAAATGTTTTATTAAATTCCGGAAAAGTTTTTACAATTTGTAAAATATTTTATTAAATTCCAGAAAAGCCTTTACAATTTGTAAAATGTTTTATTAAATTCCGGAAAAGTTTTTACAATTTGTAAAATATTTTATTAAATTCCAGAAAAGTTTTTACAATTTGTAAAATGTTTTATTAACTTGCGGAAAGATTTTTACAATTTGTAAAATGTTTTATTAAATTCCGGAAAGATTTTTACAATTTGTAAAATCTTTTATTAAATTCCAGAAAAGTTTTTACAATTTGTAAAATGTTTTATTAAATTCCGGAAAAGTTTTTACAATTTGTAAAATGTTTTATTAAATTCCGGAAAAGTTTTTACAATTTGTAAAATGTTTTATTAAATTCCGGAAAAGTTTTTACAATTTGTAAAATATTTTATTAAATTCCGGAAAAGTTTTTACAATTTGTAAAATGTTTTATTAAATTCCGGAAAAGTTTTTACAATTTGTAAAATATTTTATTAAATTCCGGAAAAGTTTTTACAATTTGTAAAATGTTTTATTAAATTCCGGAAAAGTTTTTACAATTTGTAAAATGTTTTATTAAATTCCGGAAAAGTTTTTACAATTTGTAAAATATTTTATTAAATTCCAGAAAAGTTTTTACAATTTGTAAAATGTTTTATTAAATTCCGGAAAAGTTTTTACAATTTGTAAAATATTTTATTAAATTCCAGAAAAGTTTTTACAATTTGTAAAATGTTTTATTAAATTCCGGAAAAGTTTTTACAATTTGTAAAATGTTTTATTAAATTCCGGAAAAGTTTTTACAATTTGTAAAATGTTTTATTAAATTCCGGAAAAGTTTTTACAATTTGTAAAATGTTTTATTAAATTCCGGAAAAGTTTTTACAATTTGTAAAATGTTTTATTAAATTCCGGAAAAGTTTTTACAATTTGTAAAATGTTTTATTAAATTCCGGAAAAGTTTTTACAATTTGTAAAATATTTTATTAAATTCCAGAAAAGTTTTTACAATTTGTAAAATGTTTTATTAAATTCCGGAAAAGTTTTTACAATTTGTAAAATGTTTTATTAAATTCCGGAAAAGTTTTTACAATTTGTAAAATATTTTATTAAATTCCAGAAAAGTTTTTACAATTTGTAAAATGTTTTATTAAATTCCGGAAAAGTTTTTACAATTTGTAAAATGTTTTATTAAATTCCGGAAAAGTTTTTACAATTTGTAAAATGTTTTATTAAATTCCGGAAAAGTTTTTACAATTTGTAAAATGTTTTATTAAATTCCGGAAAAGTTTTTACAATTTGTAAAATGTTTTATTAAATTCCGGAAAAGTTTTTACAATTTGTAAAATATTTTATTAAATTCCAGAAAAGTTTTTACAATTTGTAAAATGTTTTATTAAATTCCGGAAAAGTTTTTACAATTTGTAAAATGTTTTATTAAATTCCGGAAAAGTTTTTACAATTTGTAAAATGTTTTATTAAATTCCGGAAAAGTTTTTACAATTTGTAAAATGTTTTATTAAATTCCGGAAAAGTTTTTACAATTTGTAAAATGTTTTATTAAATTCCGGAAAAGTTTTTACAATTTGTAAAATGTTTTATTAAATTCCGGAAAAGTTTTTACAATTTGTAAAATATTTTATTAAATTCCAGAAAAGTTTTTACAATTTGTAAAATGTTTTATTAAATTCCGGAAAAGTTTTTACAATTTGTAAAATGTTTTATTAAATTCCGGAAAAGTTTTTACAATTTGTAAAATGTTTTATTAAATTCCGGAAAAGTTTTTACAATTTGTAAAATGTTTTATTAAATTCCGGAAAAGTTTTTACAATTTGTAAAATGTTTTATTAAATTCCGGAAAAGTTTTTACAATTTGTAAAATGTTTTATTAAATTCCGGAAAAGTTTTTACAATTTGTAAAATATTTTATTAAATTCCAGAAAAGTTTTTACAATTTGTAAAATGTTTTATTAAATTCCGGAAAAGTTTTTACAATTTGTAAAATGTTTTATTAAATTCCGGAAAAGTTTTTACAATTTGTAAAATGTTTTATTAAATTCCGGAAAAGTTTTTACAATTTGTAAAATATTTTATTAAATTCCAGAAAAGTTTTTACAATTTGTAAAATGTTTTATTAAATTCCGGAAAAGTTTTTACAATTTGTAAAATATTTTATTAAATTCCAGAAAAGTTTTTACAATTTGTAAAATGTTTTATTAAATTCCGGAAAAGTTTTTACAATTTGTAAAATATTTTATTAAATTCCAGAAAAGTTTTTACAATTTGTAAAATGTTTTATTAAATTCCAGAAAAGTTTTTACAATTTGTAAAATGTTTTATTAAATTCCGGAAAAGTTTTTACAATTTGTAAAATATTTTATTAAATTCCAGAAAAGTTTTTACAATTTGTAAAATGTTTTATTAAATTCCAGAAAAGTTTTTACAATTTGTAAAATGTTTTATTAAATTCCGGAAAAGTTTTTACAATTTGTAAAATGTTTTATTAAATTCCGGAAAAGTTTTTACAATTTGTAAAATGTTTTATTAAATTCCAGAAAAGTTTTTACAATTTGTAAAATGTTTTATTAAATTCCAGAAAAGTTTTTACAATTTGTAAAATGTTTTATTAAATTCCGGAAAAGTTTTTACAATTTGTAAAATATTTTATTAAATTCCAGAAAAGTTTTTACAATTTGTAAAATGTTTTATTAAATTCCAGAAAAGTTTTTACAATTTGTAAAATGTTTTATTAAATTCCGGAAAAGTTTTTACAATTTGTAAAATGTTTTATTAAATTCCAGAAAAGTTTTTACAATTTGTAAAATGTTTTATTAAATTCCAGAAAAGTTTTTACAATTTGTAAAATGTTTTATTAAATTCCGGAAAAGTTTTTACAATTTGTAAAATATTTTATTAAATTCCAGAAAAGTTTTTACAATTTGTAAAATGTTTTATTAAATTCCAGAAAAGTTTTTACAATTTGTAAAATGTTTTATTAAATTCCGGAAAAGTTTTTACAATTTGTAAAATGTTTTATTAAATTCCAGAAAAGTTTTTACAATTTGTAAAATGTTTTATTAAATTCCAGAAAAGTTTTTACAATTTGTAAAATGTTTTATTAAATTCCGGAAAAGTTTTTACAATTTGTAAAATATTTTATTAAATTCCAGAAAAGTTTTTACAATTTGTAAAATGTTTTATTAAATTCCGGAAAAGTTTTTACAATTTGTAAAATGTTTTATTAAATTCCGGAAAAGTTTTTACAATTTGTAAAATATTTTATTAAATTCCAGAAAAGTTTTTACAATTTGTAAAATGTT